TGGTTCGACCTTCTTCGAGTTTCCTTCCTCGAGTGAAGTCATCCAGATGCTCTCTTCGGGACATGATGTATCGAAGGATACTACCACAGTTCTTTGCAGCTACTCTCTACTACTTTGCGAAGAAAGATTTTCGTACCCATAGACTTCCTCGATTTGGGCGGCCGGCCATATTTGACACTTTATTCAAGCTCTTCTTCCACCGAGAAAAGTCTAGCTTCCTGTGCATATCCCTTAGGCGAGTGGCAACATGCTCCCACACTTTCATTTAATTCCACCAAGTCATTAGTGTTTTATGCTACTTTATCCATCTCGTCCCTAAGTTTTGCACATCAGTGTATATAGTAGCATGTTGCCTCTTCATTTTTCATTAGTGCATGTGTGGTTCCAACACTTACAACAATTTTTTGATCACCTTTTGAACAGAATTTATGGCTTTCCAGCCTACTTGATAAACAAAAAGGAAGTATTCCAGAAGGCATGGAAGAATATGCACGGTATCCACGCAAGTTAGAGTTGGCATAAACGCCCTTTATGGGATAAAGGCCCTTCATGATGTAGGTGCTTGAGCTGTTGAAGTATGTTACTATAGAAGCGGACGCTTGTCGATTTCAGATGGGTTTTATACACCGAGACATAAAACCAGCAAACATGGCCTTGGGAACCTTTGATAGATCGCGAATTATACACATTTTCGACTTTGGACTAGCCAGGCAGTACGTGATTTTCCCAAAAAATGGTCGACCAAAGTTGCGGCGGCCAAGAGATAGAGCTCGTTTCAGGCAAGTTTACCATGTCAACTGAAAACACAACCTTCCGTTAATTTCATCTTCACTTTCAGAGGAACGCTGCGTTACTGTTCCATCAATGCGCAAGAAAGAGGAGAGCAAGGACGGCCGGATGACTTATGGAACCTACTGTACATGCTGGCAGAGATGAGGGGAAAACTTCCGTGGGATCATTTAGAGTAAGCTTGAGTGTGTATGAGTGGAGAATGGAATACGGATAAAAGTGAACACATCGGAAAAAATCAAATCAGGAAAGGAGAAAATTTGCAGGTGTGGGACTACTGTTCGGTTGCAGTGTTAGGCTGAGAAATAGAAACTAAACCAGATACTTCGCTTGCAGTTCAACTTGAAAATTCATTTTTAGGACAGATGCAGAGATTCTTCACTACAAAAGGAAAACCTCGCCGGAGAAACTTTTGCACAATTGCCCAGTTCAATTACTGCGTGTCTTCTCTCATTTGAAGTGAATCAACATATTGTTATAGAGTTATCCGCGAAAATGACTGCCGTTTAAATTTCAGAACCCTTAATTACTACATTCGACCAAACTACTCACTCATTTACGACTCTTTGGAAAATATAAGGAAACAAGGCAACATCAGGTAAAAAAGATTCAAGATGTTTTCAGTTGGATACGAAAAATCCATTCAATAGGTTTTCCGACCCATATGACTGGGAGTTTGAACAGTCTCTGCAGTCCTTCCAAGACGAGTCCAAGCTAAAGAGGATTGTCACGTATGCCTTATCCTTTGGATATCTCGTGATATATACTTCCAAAAATGCTTTTCAGCTCACCAGATGGAACTCCAGTGACGCGTTCGGTCAGTGGTACCCCAGCATCGATGTCTCGCGGCGCTGTCGGACGTTTTCCTCCTACCATGAGACATGTTTGTTTTGAAATATTGTGTATTTTTGGATTTTTCAACGAGGGAGTTTTCAGGATGTGGATGTGAACCCATTTCCAGCAGCATTTTTCTCATTTAATCCCCTTGGTTTTTAGAAGGAAACGTTGATATCGCTGCATTATATAATATTTCGCACTTAAGTTGTTCACTTCTCATACGATTGTGTCATAATCTGCTTGCAATTTAGATGGAACTTAAATGTACCGCCTCACTTAATAATAAAGAAATTATTTGAAGGTTAGCATGAATCGTCCAACTAAAAACACTTTCAAGTATTCATAATGGATTCTTTTACCTACAGTAGCGGTCAGAAGTGTTTGCCGAAACGTTTGTCGTGCTTCTCTTGCCTTTTTATTTATTTATTTATTTATTACGTTGCATAAGGCAATCGTGGGAAATACAATCGTAATAAATCACTCATGATACAATTAAAACTCATCAGCATCTCAATTGAATGACAAAGGAAAATTCATCACATCACAAAGGGAGGATCAGGAAGAAAGTCAATTTCAAGATCCTACGAAACTTCATATTTGAGTAGTTTTGCAGATATCTTCCTTTTGAACTGCCTCAATGACATATGGCTATTTTTTTGGTAACTTTTATATATGCACTTGCCGCTCTGCATGTGAAGCTATTGGCTCTCCAATTAGTTTTTGCCTGAAAAAAGTCTGTGATCTCAAAATTGCTCTTGAGTAACTTGAATCTTAAGACTCAAGGATATGAAAACACTAGAAAACATAGTATATCAATCTTTGGAGGCGTTGCTCAAGCGAGAAAAAATAATGCACGAAAAAATGGTTTCGGCGAACACTTTTGACCGCTACTGTATGTCTTTCCTTGAAGGCACAATTCGGGATTGGCACGCTCCCGTGGTCCCGCCCGATTGTGGCGGACGAGCGTTGATGTCGTACCCTATTAGTAGCCTTAAAGTGCGCGACAGAGGCGCTAAAACTTCTACTCGTTCATCCCTCAATACACTTTACACACAAAACAATACGCACAAAACAACATCTCATAGCTAATATGATAAGGCAAAGTACCATTTACAATAAAGAACCCAGAATACACATACATTACATGTAATAAATCACCTTCACTTCCAATCTCCCTTGGCCGCCTGGTAGGTCAGCTGACTGTAAGTGCTAGACTCCCATTGCCTCTCGAGACTATTCATCACCGCAGAGGCACCATCACAGACCACTCCCAAACAGGAGCGAGTGTGGGACTACGGCCGCTCCGCCGTTGCATCGGGTCCGCCTCCTCGCGTTGCTAGATGAAGACCGACCTGCCACCGGCTACAGTTTCGTGGACAACATAGTACCTTTTCAAGAAATTGGATCACAGCGCAGGAGGATTGCACACCAATAACCAACATGGCAACTAGTAACACAGCGTGGCTTCAATCCACAGTGATAGTAGGCGAACAGCGGTCGGCACCAAACATAGGAGGCGGAGTCAAAAACGCAATGGGCTATTGCGCATTGGCATCGTAGCGCGAATGTCGATTACTTCCGGGCGCATGGTGCACCCAGAAGTAATCGACGCACCAGCGACAAGACTTTTCGTCGCACAAGAAGCTGCCGTTGGTGGGAGTTTTATAACATTCCTTCAATGTCCCCTTCCCCCACCCCGCCCCCATAAGCAATCTATTTCTGCCTTGACCGTCTCAAGGGTATGAGGTCATTTGCCTTCGCCGTCGAGCTCAAGGAAGGCCTAGATGCAGTAGCTCTATCTACAACACCCCTTCCGACCAGCATTTCGGATAACGCCGTGGTGGCCTACGATCCCTCGAGGGCCTTGTCATGCTTGAATCATGCACCATGTTTCCGTGGGAGACCTTCGTCCGTGTAGGAGGCTATTATGATTTTTTGACAGGATAGAAAATGCTCCCCAATTTCCAATAAGGCCGCTCGGCTTGGATTGAGCAAAGTGCAGTCATGTGCCAAATGCAATGGGATAATGACTGTTCTATTGCCCCTCCCTACGTGTCAATTTTATGTAGATTATTATACAAACCATTTGTTTCGGTTTAGCGGAATGTATGCACATCAGCACGTTGGTATGTCCATCGTCCGTTGCAAAATATGAATGTGTTAGGTCCATACCTACAGAGATCGTGCCACCTACGCAACGTGGATCGGTGGCCGAATAGGCTAATAGCGCCTCAAGATAAGAAATAAAACCGAAAGATAGCTTGGCTATTTCAAAACACGAACACGTCTCTTCACTAGTCTCATAGTGAAGTACCGCTCAGAGAAAAGTCTTTTCCAGAACGTGAAGGAATTTTCCTCCGTTTTTCTCTTTTTTAGACCACACTCCATCCACAACATTGTTGAACGCTCTTTCACACCCATTTTCTCCCGGGGCTTGCCTTTATCCTTCTCCGATTGCGCGCTGTTGGCTCAAAAAGTAAAGATTCTCGCTGAGCTCATTACGGAAGATCCCAAAGCCGTCTAGATGATGTAAAAGGAGATTTCAAAAATGAGATGTGAGAATGTAGCGGATTTTCAGGAAAGCAATTAAAAAATTTTGAAAAGAAGTATGGAACAAAACCAAGTAGTTCTCCGCAATGAACTTCAAGTTTTATTTAAGTAATTTGCATTAGTTTGGTGTGTGTTTAACAATCACACTTAAGCCGTATAAGAGGAGGTAAAATCTGCGTATAACGTAGCCATGTAACGTATAATGATTAAGTAGTCGGGAACTTTTCAGAATCCCAGCGCATTTCTAGCGAAAAATTCTTGAGGAAACGGATTGTTCTCGTCTATCAATTGATAAATCTGAAAAAAAAACAATAGTGGTAGCGTTGAGACTAATTTTCAAGGACTCTGACATTGCTGAAAATGCAATTGAGGCTGCGTACCATAGTTTCCGATTTCCTCGACTTTACTGGGGCAACGGCACTGATCGATTGCGACGGTTTTATACCTTCTGTACTGAAACATGCCGGTAATATTTCAGCCACTGAAGCTAATAATGGTGATAATCTAATAGCTGAGTGGTGACTGTGAAGTCTAGGACACACTATCAGGTAACTAGAAAATTTCGAAAATTATAGAAAACGCCCTGACTCACGATGTTGCAGACCAATTGCTTCTCTTGTTTTCGGTTACCTCTTTACTTTCTTCCGACCTTCCACGCGTTTCCCAGTCATATGGATCAGTGTACCTGTCATGTACTGTTTAGCATTTCATAATCGTAGCCGAGTAAGCTCACCAAACTACCCTTACTCCTCATGTCGAACGAATGGATTAAAGGCGGTGTTCATAATGAGAGCCAGCCCATTAGAGATCAAGGTGGAGGTGGTCAGTGGCGCAGGTACGAAGAAAAGCCTGAGAAACGGCTCAGAACCGAGAACTGGGATCGCTTCTTAGCTCTTGATCCTAGCATTGATGCGACTCTCATGGTTGCTGCCCTATTCAACCTAACGCTGTCTCTGCTAAACGGTCATGGTCGGATGGCGAGAGGGAGAGCAGGTAGCTGGGTATGGCCCTGCTAGGCGACTAGGCCATATACTTTCGCTGCGACGTACATCGTCGCGCACCCAAACGGGGAGGGAAAGCCCAGCTGCCTCTCAACTGATTATACTTCTTTTTGAAGCTTAATGGTGATTCCGTTTTCCTGGTGATCTTGGATAATTTTTGCAATCGATGCCACCTTCCGGGCTTCTCGCTGTTCGAAACCAATGTAATAATATTCAAGTATCCTTTGCTATTAGTCCGATGCAACCCCTGTGGTGGGCAGAATAGAAGTGTTCACGAAGTTCTTAGATGTGCCGTTCTAACTTATGAAGTTGTGCAGGACACAACTACGACCTTGTCGCTTAGCCTTCCAATCAGGGTCAACCGTCACGTTCGAACATTTTCGGGATTTTTGCGACCCCCTCTCGAGGGGTCCAGTTGCGACCCCCAATACAACCAGCCTTCCCCACCGCGACCTCTCCCTCTTCTATAGTATTTGATTCTGAGACCAGTTGACACAGCCCAAAACCTACCTAAAACTCCGAAACTCCACCCACTTTTTCCCCAAAAACAGCCGTCGAGCGGGGGGGGGGGGGGTATATACAACCAGTGAAACGGCAACTTTTTTCGCACGCACCTATGCCCTGCGCCCCTGATCACCAAAGCGCGCAATGCGACCAATGCGACCCCTCTCCCCTCCCAGAACACAAATGCGACCCCCCGTTCGAACAGTTCGAACGGACGGTTGACCCTGCATCCTGTGCTTCACTGTATCTCGTCTCGCATGCGAGGCCAGGCGTGGCCTTCCACGGCGTTCTCGAGATGCCTCTTCGTTAACTAAAATAACGCCTGTCTTATAATTCTGAAGGGTTTTCAATAATTCGTGCTCCATCCATTCACTTATGGACCCTGCGCACCCCACCTAGCACATTTGAGCCAAAAATGACAAGGATAGAAGAATAAAACCTTTTATTATGTGTTTTACCTTCAAGAGTAAGCAAGCAGGTAGAGTAATGTGTTATGCATGTAGTGATTGCATGCAATACTATTAAAATACTATGCGTAGAATTACCTGAACCTTCCTGCCCTCATGACGTCAACCAACAGTTCATAAAGCAGCAAGTAATCAGGACGCATGTAATAATTCAAAGTGCTGAAAGTAGTTCGTAAAAGCCGCAGCTCATTACCATGTCATAACTCAGAAATCCTACCTTAGATGTTCTGCGAATTTGATTAATTGAACTGGGCAGTTTTCCAGGACCACATCAATCTCTGTTCGACGCTTTATTTCGTACACTTCCCTCTTGTCGCTTAACATTTAACTGTTTTATACATGGTTTTGTTTTATAATGCATTCAATTAGAATACCAAACGTAAT